CCTGTGTGTGTTGTAAGGTAGTCACCGCTCCAAGCTCACTCCTGTGATGGACTACAATCTCAATACAAATTAGTAAACTAAACATGAGATTGTAGTCCATCACAGGAGCAAGCTTGGAGCGGTGACTACTTCAAAACACACACAGGGGCCATGAGGAACAAAAGTAGCCCCCCCCCCTCCAGAAGGAAGGACAGTGTCAGCACCAATTCAGAGATGATTGGAGGATCCACAGCCGAGTGATACACAAATAAGATACATTGCTGTTAATAGTTCAGCTACTTTAATGTATTTTTAAGATATAATTCCTGAGTTTAGTATCACTTTAATCATCTGCTTTTACATCAACTTTCATTTACATGTTTGACTGGAGTGTTCCTTTAAGGCTGTAGTGTCAGACAGCACAAATATTTATGTCTTCACATTTAAATCTCTGTAGTAGACATCCCTTCCACTAAAATTAAATCTACGATTTCCTAACTCTTATAATAAAATCTGCCCACAGCAGGCTTTGCTTCGATGCGTGTGAGCCCGGCTGGCCATTTCTGATCATCATCCTGCACTGATTCTGTTTCCAAACGTCCATTTTAAGGCAGAGATGGCTCAGAGCCAAAACCCAGCTCCACGCTCTACCATACACACAGAATGGACCCACCAATCAGGAAGGAGGAGGCAGACGCTCAACACTCTCATAAGTGAGCTTTCAGGAGGACACACCAGCACAGGGAGGACGCAGGCATGCTTCAATGTAGCCCAGCAGATATTTGCTCATTTCAAAAAAAAAAAAGTATATATATACTTTTGCTTTTGAGTCTTCTGCACACAAGGAGGATTGGTGTGCAGTGCTCAGCCTGTCAGCTTAAATTGTTCAGCAGTTGTGCATATAAATATGTCTTCCCTCCTCCAACTGCTCGCCTGAGAGCCTCTAAGGGAGGGCATGTGAACACATGGCAGACACACACACATAACGTTACATTTATTTAAAACAGGATAAATATGCATCTTTATGTTGTATATGTATTATAAATAATATATACAATTTTTTTAATGTATACAATTTTTCTTTTTAATGTATACAAGTTTTTATTTTTTGGCCCAGTGTAATACCTGGCGAAAAGTTAGGATCAAATGGTATCGATGCAAATTCCAGGCGCAGTTGTGCCTTTTTACCTGGCCCCTTCCTTTTTTTTTATATAGCAAATTTACAGTGTTACATTTTAACTGGAACTGTAAGGAAATAAAAACACTGATTGTGCAAAATGTTATTCAGAAAATTGCATTTTTGTTTTTTACTCTGTGTAAAATATTGG